GCTGTCATACTGGTTTTTCTTGATTGGTCGCTTGCAGTATGAATTGTGTTGGTCTTCGACTCATGGATTGTTTGTTGTCTGGTGAAGTACTTATGCATTTGTCAGTAGTTTTTTAAGATCAGCGAAAAGAATCCAAGTGCATAAAAATTAACACTGATGTTGTAGTGATATCTGATCTTTAACAGATTAAAGCTAAGTCAAGTAGCAGTAGGTGCCAACTTATCAGTGACTCAACGAATACTGCTGATGCGCACTACAAGTTCAAAATAAAGAAATGCTTGTTTAAATGGAGGTAAAACACTATCCGTTTTGTGTTCCATCCATTTCAGTCTTTTAGCATCCAATCATGTGCAGCACCACCAATTGTACGAACGTGGGTTAGGTGTCTGACCTTGTGTTAATTCAGATGAACGACAAGCGTTTCGCCTCCACTCATGGTTTTCACTTGTTCAAGACATAATGAAGATGGTGAGTCAGATAATCAATTTTTTCAACGAACTGATTTGCAGTGTGTTTGTTAAGATCATCACATCGAAACATTTGCTTTGGCACAACGTTACTCTGGTCTGTGAGGTCCATTGTATTCGCAGATTTTCAACACTTTTGCACACTTACTGCATCGCGTATATTTTTTGTTCATCTATGCTTTCTCCTTATGTTGATTTTTAGTCAGCTATCAGGTGGATTAAGCGAATTGTAGCTGTATAGCGTACACATCAGGCAGCTTTGCCTCTAGCCTAGCACTCTGTAACATATCAGGTCGGGACACGGGACACGGCATTGTCATACCGTTGGCAGGTCAACGACTTATTACCTGTTTTTTGGTTAGTTACGCCGAGGCACGGTGAGATGAATTCTTTGTTCAAAGGGATTATTTGATAATGAGTGAAAATTTACGCGATTCTTGGTTTTCCAGTCCATACCCCTAAAACGTGAGGCATTCTGCAAACCCACTGCACTACTGCGCCTCCTCCTCCCAAATGTATCATTTTAAAGAGGTATTTCAGTTTTTACATACTGCTTTGTTTAGCATTGGATGCCACTGGAAAATTGCCGTCCGGTATTCTCAGAGGTGACCTGTGGATGCTTGGCGACTACGTTGAATGCAACAAACTGCGAGTGCGAACGGATTCAGGGTGAGACCAAAAATTCTTATTATATTTTTTTGTTCGGTGATTGTTTGATTTTTTGTGATCTATTGCCGCCACTGCTCTTCGAAGATCGATCTTTATCCTCTCTGACAAGGAATGAAGACAACGATCGGAGCGAAGGATCGTATGATGTTTGAACTAAACTTCGGTGGAAGTAATTTTCATGAAAGCCTTTCAGAAACTCTGAAATAGTCAACTAACAGAACTATTGTCTACGGATTTAGTGAACTTATTACATATCTTAAGGCAGTTCTATTTAACTGAAAGAAACTATCAAGCATACTAATACGGAATGATTTGAGGTCAAATCTATACTGTTAATCCCTGAAGAAATCTTGAATCTTTGCGTCATACGGTCTATGCCATAAATGGAAGATAATAAATCCTG